CATGAATTTCCTCAGCGGTGGGGGAACCTTGCCCCGAAGAAATCTGTCGTCCTCACCGGGGTCCAAGGGGCCGGACCAGGCGGAACTAGCCGCTGACATGGGTATGTTCGTGTGTGGTTAATAAGTGCGTAGAACAAAACAAGATATTACCACAAAAATTGGACACAATTATGTCGAAACCAGACGACAATTTGATTGGTAAAGATCCATTGGAGTTGCTAGCATGATGGCTTAACCCTCGGTAAGAAAAATGTCAGAAGTTGCCGATCGCTTCATCCACAAAGAAAACCTTCGCTGTAAAAGCTGTAGATATTTTTTCCAATTCCAACTGAAAAATCAATATAAGGGACAAAGGTTTGCTGTGATGATGGATAAAATACTAGTGCACAATGTATTAACTTACCAATATGCACCTGTGTCTACTATACATGTATATCTATACATGCTACCGATTATTTTGCAAGGAATTTTAAGTGTAATCGCAACCGTTCATCAAAGATATAAGTGTATTTCAGACATCCCTTGGAACTGTGTGGCGTAATTATTTTGTGGGAAGGCAGCTGAAAGAAATAGTTGATTGAAATCTCACACTTGTTTCTGTTGAAATGAAGAAACAAAAGTACTGGATAGAAACTAATTCTCTACCATTTGATGCATCAAATCACTTATCACAGCTAAGTATTTGATTTTAGACATCAAATAATATCTTATGTGAAACATTATTCCTTTCTACGGTGTTTATGTTGTTAATTGCGGAACAAGTAAATTTGGAATCAATTCTGTAGATCTAAACTACATTGTATTAGGTAAATGATGGACCATTATGGTGATGATCATGAGATGATACATGTACATGGAAAAATACTAACGTTAGCCACAATAGTTATGTATATTACTGTGTTTATGATCAGCTGCTCTCTACTGCGTGGAATATATCTGTAAAGACGATATAATTTGTCCTTGAAGGTGCGTGGGCACCAAGACAGGTGCAGGATAGGAAGGGCAGGGTAAGATTACTAAGAGCGGGGTTTGGTTTGTGTTAGAAGTAAACAAACATGAAGCACCTTTCTTTGGTTGATACATATTTGGACCAACCACTTGTAGGGGTGACATGGGCAAAATAAGAACAACACGTCTCCATCTTGCATGAAATAACGTGGAATTTAGAGCACTGTAGGACGTGTTTTACCATGATTTGACTGAAGCACTGAGATATCTCTAGCTCTTTTGTATCAACATGTAATCGGTTAGCCCCCACCTGAAAAGGAAATTTTCAGTCCAAACATGGCACATGAAGCTACAGTTAGTCTGCCTTTCACACACACACACACACACACACACACACACACACACACACACACACACACACACACACACACACACCTGAGTAAGATATATCATTCACTGTACTAGGCGTACCCACCTCGTCGATATCAGTTTCAAAGTGGGGCGGTTGTTTACACAATATAATCGGTATAATCGGCTTCCCCGACCCAGCAAATGAAAAGCAGGAAAATTAACCAACTGGTGATTACGATTTGATACGTCTGGGACCTGCGCTTCGGGCACAAAAACCGCCGCCCCGATCATAATCCAGCGGGGTTACGTTCAGGGGTTGGGCAATATCGGAAGTACGTCCGCCCTGCAGAATTTAATTTCCTTACTAATCCACAACAA